GTAATCCATGCTGAAGATTATAGCTCTGTGGTAATCCATGCTGAAGATTATCGCTCTGTGGTAATCCAAGCTGAAGATTATAGCTCTGTGGTAATCCAAGCTGAAGATTATAGCTCTGTGGTAATCCAAGCTGAAGATTATAGCTCTGTGGTAATCCAAGCTGAAGATTATAGCTCTGTGGTAATCCAAGCTGAAGATTATAGCTCTGTGGTAATCCATGCTGAAGATTATAGCTCTGTGGTAATCCATGCTGAAGATTATAGCTCTGTGGTAATCCAAGCTGAAGATTATAGCTCTGGTAATCCAAGGTGAAGATTATAGCTCTGTGGTAATCCATGCTGAAGATTATCGCTCTGTGGTAATCCATGCTGAAGATTATAGCTCTGTGGTAATCCAAGCTGAAGATTATAGCTCTGTGGTAATCCATGCTGAAGATTATAGCTCTGTGGTAATCCAAGCTGAAGATTATAGCTCTGGTAATCCAAGGTGAAGATTATAGCTCTGTGGTAATCCATGCTGAAGATTATCGCTCTGTGGTAATCCATGCTGAAGATTATAGCTCTGTGGTAATCCAAGCTGAAGATTATAGCTCTGTGGTAATCCAAGCTGAAGATTATAGCTCTGTGGTAATCCAAGCTGAAGATTATAGCTCTGTGGTAATCCATGCTGAAGATTATAGCTCTGTGGTAATCCAAGCTGAAGATTATAGCTCTGTGGTAATCCAAGCTGAAGATTATAGCTCTGTGGTAATCCATGCTGAAGATTATAGCTCTGTGGTAATCCAAGCTGAAGATTATAGCTCTGTGGTAATCCAAGCGTATCAATAAAGTCATCGACAGGGCCACGGCAAATGTTTAAATCCTGTTGTTTGACAGGATTTCAATGAAATCTCGTGGATGGAAAGCAACAGACAAAGGATTTGGGAATAATGATGTCTGACGACCTAACGTTTAGGGAGCATAACCAAGCAAATATTGCTTCAGCTAAAAAAAATGATAGGATGGATTACAAGAACCTTCAAATCTAGGGATTCCATCACAATGGTTGTACTCTTCAAGTCACTTGTGTTGTCCCGTCTTGAGTACTGCTCAGTACTCACTTCCCCCTTCAGAGCAGGAGAGGTTGCTGAAATAGAGGGAATACAGAGAACATATACGGCACGCATAGACGAGATAAAGCACCTAAACTAATTGGACTGACTCGGAGCTTTCAAAATTTTCTCTGGAAAAGAGAGAGAGAGAGATAGAGATAGAGAGAGAGAGAGTGAGAGAGTGTGAGAGAGAGAGAGAGAAAGAGAGAGAGAGAGAGAGAGAGAGAGAGAGAGAGAGAGAGAGAGAGAGAGAGAGAGAGAGAGAGAGAGAGAGAGAGAGAGAGAGAGAGGAGCATCATGTAATTAAAAATGCTAAGTCCAAAATTCAGATAGTAAAATAGCAACAAACCGGAGTGAACAATATGGCAGGAAATGCTGAACAGAGCCAGAGAAGAGTAGAGATATCATAGGCACAGAGAACACCATATGAACATCAGAGGTCCCCAGCAAGTCAATACTCTCCCAGCGAGTTTAAAACAAATACTGTCGGAACAAAAATGGACTTGGACAAAAATTAGACTCTAAAATTAGACTCGTTCAGCAAGAATTACGGAACTAACCAGAGTGAAGGGGGAAGAGTGAGGTCTGTGTGTACGGGTCCGCACCAAGCAACAGGCCCTTGGACTAAAATTATCAAAGACAACTCAAGCCTGGCCCCAAACCGGGTCTTCAGTGAGGGAGGGATATAGAAGACATCCCAGAACCCCCACGACAGGTATGAAGCCCCCCATTTCTGACACAAGGAAAACAACGCGAGACAGAGGTACGGCAACCGTAAGACTAATTAGAGTCTCACACGTGGCTCTATACGGCACACGGAGCCAGGAAAATGACAGGGTGAATAGAGAGAGAGAGAGAGAGCCGTCAACACAAGAGCTGCCTCGCTAGGGATGATATTCTTCAAAGCACTCTGATGTTATCTGGTATGGAAATATTGCACGGTCCTCACATCCACCTTGGAGGTAGGGCGAGATATGAGCTAGACAAATATATATATATATATATATATATATATATATATATATATATATATATATATATATAATATATTACGTGTGTGTGTGTGAATAAATCACGAAAAATAAACACGTGATTAAAAATGTGACAGTGTCAGACCACGGAGGAAAATTGAAACAGGAATTTCCTTCAAGTACTTTTGTATATTAATACATCTTCAGAAGGAATCTGATTCCTTCTGAAGATGTATTAATATACGAAAGTACTTGAAGGAAATTCCTGCTCCAATTCTTCCTCCGTGAGGAAGGGTAGGGTGAGGTCACTGTTGCCTGACCCCGGCCTCTAGCTGTCCGCCAGGTCTTCCGTCTTCCCTCTGGGTCAGTGAAGGACCGTCAAACAGTTGTATGCTCCAAGTTGAATTGATCTGGACGTTGTTTACTGGCGTCAGCTCCCGGAACACAGCCTCAAGCGGACGATCGTCCGTGTGTGTCATTATTGTCGTATCTGTCACTATGTCTCGGTGATTCAGGATGTTGTTGTGGAGGTGATAATGATGTTGCTCAATACCTGCCTCTTGCCAGTGTAAGGCGTCCACTCAGTGTACTCGTGGTGTGTCCAGTGTAGCATATATTCCGGAGCACACAGTCTCCAGAGGTCATGTGTAGTGAGGCACTACACTAGTACACCTCAGTGTGTCACAGGCAGAGATGGTATTACTCATAATGAGGGAAGATGAATGAGGTTGTTATAATATATGACAGGACGAATCCTGCCGTTTTCACTGCAAGGATTGCAATTGCTGTCAATTATATCTCGTATCACCATTTCATCCTTCTTATATGCTTGAGTGAATGTATTTTTATAATACACTATAATAGCTTTATTTGGAGGCCGATTTTTCACCTCTGGGGGGCCTGATTTTTCACCTCTGGGGGCCTGATTTTTCACCTCTGGGGGCCTGATTTTACCACCTCTGGGGGGCCTGATTTTACCACCTCTGGGGGGCCTGATTTACCACCTCTGGGGGGCCTGATTTTACCACCTCTGGGGGGCCTGATTTACCACCTCTGGGGGGCCTGATTTACCACCTCTGGGGGGCCTGATTTTACCACCTCTGGGGGGCCTGATTTACCACCTCTGGGGGGCCTGATTTTACCACCTCTGGGGGGCCTGATTTACCACCTCTGGGGGGCCTGATTTTACCACCTCTGGGGGGCCTGATTTTTACCACCTCTGGGGGGCCTGATTTTACCACCTCTGGGGGGCCTGATTTTTACCACCTCTGGGGGGCCTGATTTTTACCACCTCTGGGGGCCTGATTTTTACCACCTCTGGGGGGCCTGATTTTACCACCTCTGGGGGCCTGATTTTACCACCTCTGGGGGGCCTGATTTTTACCACCTCTGGGGGGCCTGATTTTACCACCTCTGGGGGGCCTGATTTTTACCACCTCTGGGGGGCCTGATTTTTACCACTCTGGGGGCCTGATTTTTACCACCTCTGGGGGGCCTGATTTTTACCACCTCTGGGGGCCTGATTTTTACCACCTCTGGGGGCCTGATTTTTACCACCTCTGGGGGCCTGATTTTTACCACCTCTGGGGGCCTGATTTTTACCACCTCTGGGGGCCTGATTTTTACCACCTCTGGGGGGCCTGATTTTTACCACCTCTGGGGGGCCTGATTTTACCACCTCTGGGGGGCCTGATTTTACCACCTCTGGGGGGCCTGATTTTACCACCTCTGGGGGGCCTGATTTTACCACCTCTGGGGGGCCTGATTTTACCACCTCTGGGGGGCCTGATTTTACCACCTCTGGGGGGCCTGATTTTACCACCTCTGGGGGGCCTGATTTTACCACCTCTGGGGGGCCTGATTTTACCACCTCTGGGGGGCCTGATTTTACCACCTCTGGGGGGCCTGATTTTACCACCTCTGGGGGGCCTGATTTTACCACCTCTGGGGGGGCCTGATTTTACCACCTCTGGGGGGCCTGATTTTACCACCTCTGGGGGGCCTGATTTTACCATCTCTGGGGGGCCTGATTTTACCATCTCTGGGGGGCCTGATTTTACCATCTCTGGGGGGCCTGATTTTACCACCTCTGGGGGGCCTGATTTTACCACCTCTGGGGGGGGCCTGATTTTACCACCTCTGGGGGGGGCCTGATTTTTACCACCTCTGGGGGGCCTGATTTTTACCACCTCTGGGGGGGCCTGATTTTACCACCTCTGGGGGGCCTGATTTTACCACCTCTGGGGGGCCTGATTTTACCACCTCTGGGGAGCCTGATTTTACCACCTCTGGGGAGGGCCTGATTTTTACCACCTCTGGGGGCCTGATTTTTACCACCTCTGGGGGGCCTGATTTTTACCACCTCTGGGGGGCCTGATTTTTACCACCTCTGGGGGCCTGATTTTTACCACCTCTGGGGGCCTGATTTTCCTCAGTCAGATGGCGGCCTAAGCCCTTACGTACGATTTCGTCGAATTCCGTATTGCTGTAATGGTTGTCCACAACCATTTGGCGGATTCGTTCAAGTTGGTGGTGCAGGAGCTGCCAAGACGAGCATGTAGCGTACTGCACCACCTTCAGACGCGTTGATGACGCTTCTCTTATACCTGTGATTGCACTCACTCTTACGGAGTGTAAGATTGAGGAGCAAGCCGTAGAGAGAGAGAGAGAGAGAGAGAGAGAGAGAGAGAGAGAGAGAGAGAGAGAGAGAGAGAGAGTCGACACTACTAGGAAGCAGTACAAGTCGCGGTTGTCGTACACTCTCGACCCGTCATCAATATTGAGAGTGAAGATCTCAAGATGGTCTAGCAGCCTCCGGCCAGATGAGGAGTCTGGGGGAGGTATTGAGGGGAGCGGAAGGGGGAAGGGAGAGGGGGATGGAGGGAAGGGCCATAAGGCAGGAGAGGAGGAACGGAAGTTATGGTGGGAGAGAGGGAGATATGGGAGGGCAGGAAGAGAGGAAATACATGTACAGTATCTTGGGTATTGAGTGGAAAAGTTGGTGAGAGAGAGAGAGAGGGGAGGGGGGAGAGAGAGAGAGGGGGGGGGGGGGGGGGGGGAGAGAGAGAGAGAGGTGAGGAGAGAGAGAGAGAGAGAGGGGGGAGGGGGAGAGAGAGAGAGAGAGAGGGGGGAGGGGGAGAGAGAGAGAGAGGAGGGGGAGAGAGAGAGAGAGAGAGAGAGAGAGAGAGAGAGAGAGAGAGAGAGAGAGAGAGAGAGAGAGAGAGAGAGAGAGAGGCTGCAGGAAAGGGCAAGCCATAAATCACTAAGACCTCTTAAATGACCCGACCAGGATTCGAACCCATGACGTCTAGCATCACCCCCCAAACGTAGCGTGACCACCGCACTAATGATCGTCTACATGGATTGATCAGTCCTGGTGCTTATTAACTGAGCTCCACGATTGACCAACCCCCGGCCACACTCGTGGCTCCATTTTTGTCCTCCAAATTGGTATATTCAAGTTAACAGTATTATATTAAGATAAATTACTGACTTAGGTTAAGTCAAGTTGTTGTTATAGATTCAGCTACTCGGAACAAGTTCCAAGTAGCACGGGCTATGGTGAGCCCGTAACTTACCTGGCACAGGAGCGGGGCAAGTAGCCTGCGCTATGGTGAGCCTGTAGCTTACCTGGCACAGGAGCGGGGCAAGTAGCACGGGATATGGCGAGCCCGACACAGGAGCGGTGCTGTGTTAAGTCAAGGGAGACACCGGTATTAAGTAAGGGAAGAGTGAGGTGAGGAGCAGGTAAGAGAAGAAGGTAAAAGTAAGGGGGAAAGGTAAGAATAATATGAAAGGAAGGAAAGGGATAAGTGTAATAATGGGATGAAGGCAGAAAGGGATAGGTAGTTGTGTAGTTTGTTGACCAACTGGCTGTCTGAAATCCAGTAAGTATCTACTAACTCACTGTTGATACTTTTCTGACAGTAAGAGTAATCCCATCCACCTAGGGGGAGCCGGTCGGCCGAGCGGACAGCACGCTGGACTTGTAATCCTGTGGTCCTGGGTTCGATCCCAGGCGCCGGCGAGAAACAATGGGCAGAGTTTCTTTCACCCTAGGCCCCTGTTACCTAGCAGTAAAATAGGTACCTGGGTGTTAGTCAGCTGTTACGGGCTGCTTCCTGGGGGTGGAGGTCTGGTCGAGGACCGGGCCGCGGGGACACTAAAGCCCCGAAATCATCTCAAGATAACCTCAAGATAAGATAGTCACCACAACCTTCTAAAATTCTCCCACAAAATCGTATATTTTCATGGTTTGGATCATCTAATTTCTTTCCCATAGAAAAATAAAATGAAGTAATTACATTTAGTCAACTGGCATGACCTAGTTTCTACTCAGGCCTAATCCATGTAAATGTGAATTGGCCAAATCTATCTCGATACAAATGATTTTATTTTGATGTTCCTTAAGTTATTCTTCCCGGGAAAATTGAGCTTGTTCCATTTTTATCTTGGCAACACGCCCTGAACAAATCCACAAGGGGCGTGACGAGGATTCGAACCTGCGTCCGAGATCATCCCAGACGCTGCCTTAATCGACTGAGCTACGACATGATCAAAAAGGAGTTGAAACCGAAGTTGGGGTGGCGTAGGGATGGTACTTGTTCCACTGGTACCCCTGGTATGGCACTGCCTAGTTTGGCACTTGCTAGGATGACAGCCCATTATGCTCGGGGAAATCATAGAGCTCACTGGACATACATCATGTCTGGGAAGACATTGGTTTGCTTGTTTGCAAGCAAACCACATACACCCACACACAACTAGCTTACATATACCCATGGTGAGTTACCTGGATGTGTGTGTGTGGGGGGGGGGGGAGGTATACCTCACATACTCATGAGTGTGAGACACTTACAGGTTGAGAGCCCTACTTAAGGAGCACTTGAGCACAAGTGCCACAAGTAACGGGAGAAGTGAGAGCTGAGACTACCTCCTATTTTTATTCCTTGGGGTAAATATTGCCTCATCACTAACCACCATTTGTTTCATTATTGTTCTTCTAAGGGGCAGCCTTAACCCTTAATTTCTACTGGCATTTGTGAGATATTTAATCTATTATATATTAAGATTGATGAAGATTAAGCCACTCAAGAGGCAGGAATAGCCCCGTAATACGAGGCTATTCCCGTATTACGTATTTGCAAAACACGTATTTGCTACGTGGTTTTGTAATAAGTTACATATTAAAATACATGTTATTAATTTATTCTATTTTTCCTCTTCCTGCCAGAGGGTTTCATCAGCGACATCGCCCTACCGAACGAGGCCTACGAGAGGGAGCTGGCACTGCAGGAACTAGCACTTGTGTCCTCCACCCACGCCCTCAACCACTCCACCCACGCCCTCAACCACTCCACCCACGCCCGGCCGCCCGCCACCCCACGCCCACACCGCCCGCGCGACCCGCCACGCCGCCATCGGAGGAAAGGCCACGAGGAGCGCAAGCGACGGCGCCGCCTGCACAAGAAGCACAAACACAGGCGAGGCGGGAAGAGGCGCGGGCGCGGAGGCTTGCGGGATGGCGTGGGCGCCGCGGGGAGGCGCGCGGTCAGGAGATCGAAGGCGCGGGGCAGCTACGAGCACCGGAGACAATTGAGGGGCAGAGAGCGTCGGGCAGCCACCGCTAGGAAGGTCAGACATAGTAATGTGGTTTGGTTATGTTAATCTTGGTTAGTATGGTTATTATCTCTCTCTCTCTCTCTCTCTCTCTCTCTCTCTCTCTCTCTCTCTCTCTCTCTCTCTCTCTCTCTCTATCTTCTCTCTCACTCTCCATCTTCTCCCTTCCCTGTTATCAGCCTCAATCCCTCTCTTCCCCATTCCAATCTCTTCATCAATTAGAAGAAAAGCTAAATAGATCTCTCCGAATCCTTACTAATCCTGTCTTTTACGCAGTTCTTAAGAGATAAATGGAAGACTTGGAGGGAAGGAAAGGGAAGAGCGAATATGTGAGAGAGAGAGAGAGAGAGAGAGAGAGAGAGAGAGAGAGAGAGAGAGAGAGAGAGAGAGAGAGAGATATTGATAGTCCTTATAGGGACTTTTAAAAGTTTTGATAAAGGGTCATTGATTTTATATGATAACCACGTTAACTTAGATGCACTTTAACTGCGGACTAGTGTAGCAGTGTTGCTAAGTTCTATGTGAACTAAGTTGGTGACTATAGTCAACTTTACAACGTCTAGTTTAATTAAGAACTTTGGTGCAATAGGGTTAGTTTTCTGTCTTAAACTTGATCTGTTTAACTTAATAACATCTAGCTACAGTGAGAAGTGCCAAGACTTATTAACCAAGCCTTGGCACTTCTCATTTTAAGTCTTACCACCACCACACCTACCTACATGTCTTACAAGTCTTACAATCCCTTCACCATCCTTCACTAAGCCTTACACTCACACCACCAGCTCTAGCCAAATCTTACAACCACTACACCATCCTTATTAAGTCTTACACAAAACTACACCAGCCCCCTCACAAAATCTTAAAACTCACTCTTGCTTGTCTTCCAGGAACGAGTGTGGGACTTCGGAGTGATCCCGTACAAGATCGACTCCAACTTCACGGGGGCGGACAAGGGCCTGTTCAAACAGGCCATGAGACACTGGGAGAACTACACTTGTATCCGATTTGTCGAGAAAACAGAGGAACATCCGAATTACATCATCTTCACGGAGCGGGAGTGTGGGTGAGTGACATGTTCTTCCAGTATGGGGTCAGGGTGACCTCTATGGGGTCAGGGTGACCTCTATGGGGTCAGGGTGACCTCTATGGGGTCAGGGTGACCTCTATGGGGTCAGGGGGACCTCTATGGGGTCAGGGTGACCTCTATGGGGTCAGGGTGACCTCTATGGGGTCAGGGGGACCTCTATGGGGTCAGGGTGACCTCTATGGGGTCAGGGTGACCTCTATGGGGTCAGGGTGACCTCTATGGGGTCAGGGTGACCTCTATGGGGTCAGGGTGACCTCTATGGGGTCAGGGGGACCTCTATGGGGTCAGGGGGACCTCTATGGGGTCAGGGTGACACTCTATGAGGCGAAAGTGACCTCTATGAGGTCAGGGTGACCTCGATGGGGTCAGAGTGACCTCTATGACGTGAAAGTGACCTCTTATGGGGTCAGGGTGACCTTACGAGTCAAGGAACATCTCCCTACAACCCTGTCCTGGCGATGTGTTTCATCAGACTCTTGAAACGTGATGGAAAGTATTGTTACTATAGATGGAAGTACAAAATATGGATTATTCTACCTCAGAAATAAATGTCTATATTTTGTATTTTTCATTTCATATAGGGCCCCCCTATGAAAGAAGGCAGGAATTACACATTTTCTAGGTCTGGTATGATATATATATATATATATATATATATCATATATATATATATATATATATATATATATATATATATATATATATATATATATATATATATATATATATATATATATATATATATAATATTACTGTAATCACTGCGTCCCATATATCTGAAGTCTTTACAAGTTGTTCCATATACCAAGATCCGCTTGTAACCATATATACTTTACCCCAATTAAACGAATATCACTGAATGAGGGCGACGTTACTTCGGCTGTCGGTTAAATGGGGAAGGGAGGGAGGGAGGTAGTGGGGGGGGGGAGGGGGTAGATGGAGGGGTAAATCAATAACCTATTTTTTTTTGGAGGGATGGAGAGGGGGGCAGTGCCTATTAAGCGGAGTGTTTGCTATCTTTACGAGTGCGTGTCAATTAACCGAATGGCCGGGTATTCAATAACTGTCTCATTAACACGGCCAAGTGACCCCATTGGCGAGGGTCGTTGTAACCGGGGGAGTCGTTATAACCGGGGGTGGGCTCTCGTAGCGATGGGCCCATTAACGGGGTCGTATGTTTAGCCTAATGTATGCATACACGCACCCACGCACACATGTATACACCCATTAACGCACGCACAAATACCTACTAATGCGCATTAATAGGTATTACCTATTACCAAGTAAAACACTTAATATAAAACTTACTATAATAACCAATAGGCCTATTGGTCTATACGAAGCAGCTCCTCTATATAAGAAACTAAACTCAATCGACTTGAGAATGGTCCAGGACGGACCGAAACGTCGTCGTCGTCCCTTCACCTTCTAGTGTGTGGTCTGGTCAACAAACTAACCTCAATCAACTCGGTGTTGTCGCGTCTGTTGCACCCCGGCAATTTGTTCAATACATCAACAGAGTACTGACAGACACCTTCGGGATGTTCACCGTGTTCATCACTCCCCAACCCCCACAGGCACAGGATAGTGAACATGATAGTGAACACTCGCTATTGTTCTCTTTCACCTTCTGCACCTTTCTGTGTTTTTTCTCTTCGGTGGCGTTGTACAGACCAGCAAAGGTGATTTAAGATCTCCTTCTTCAGTGGATCATCAGGCCCAAGAGGTTATTCGGTCAGTCGTTAGTGTGGGTTGAACAAATCCACAAGGGCCGTGAGGAGGATTCGAACCTACGTCCGAGAGCATCCCAGACGCTGCCTTAATGGACTGAGCTACGAGCTGGTATTGTCGTAGCATATACCATGTCGTAGCTCAGTCGACTAAGACAGCGTCTGGGATGCTCTCGGATGTAGGTTCGAATCCTCGTCACGGCTCTTGTGGATTTGTTCATTTGATGCATCAGGCTATTGTGATTTCTGTGTGTATTATTGACCATTACTCGAGCACGTTTCTCCCACTGGGGGAGAGAGAGAGAACGGGAGGATAAAAAGGACATAGGGAGGGAGGGGAAGGGAGAGAGAAATGGACAGAGCCCCGGGCACCGCTGGTTACCTCCACTTAGTCTATCTATACTTATAAAAGCAGCTGTCTTTGTGCCCGAGGTTGAGAGACCAGGCTGTTGTTGTTATACATTCAGCTACACGGAACAAGTTCCAAGTAGCATGGGCTATGGTGAGCCCGTAGTGGACTTACCTGGCACAGGAGCGGTGGAGAGCAGGAGCTTTGGGGGTGTCATTGGGAGGTCGTCCCTTACCCTGACCTTCCCTCCCCCCCCTTGACCTTCCCTTCCCCCCCTTGACCTTCCCTCCCCCCCCTTGACCTTCCCTCCCCCCCCTTGACCTTCCCTCCCCCCCCTGACCTACTCTCCACATGGACCTTCCTTCCCTCCGCCTTTTGGCTAGATTAAGTTCAGTGTTTGGTTTTTTTTTTTTTTTTTTTTTTTTTTTTATTAACATATTAGGTACATCTGCATTAGTGCAGCTACCCTAGACTATATGAAGTGGAGTACAGTGTGTCAAAAAAAACTAACTAGGTGATGCTATAAAATCCCCATCACACAGGATGGTTAGTCATACAGAGGCATGTGATTAGCGGTCTGCACTGGCAGACTCCGGATGCATTTTGAGGATATCAACAACACAAGATTGAATAAGGTAGCAGTGGTAATACAAGTCCCCATCTCGCAGGATGGTTAGTCATACAGAGTCATGTGTTTAATAGCCTGCACTGGCAAATTTTGGGTATACTGTGAGGATATCTTCAAGAATACGAGAGTGAATAAAGTAATTGCAAAGCTCCAGGTACCTCATGCCAACTGGTCTGAAAGGTCTAATAATTGGGCATTCAGTGATGTAGTGCGGGAGATCATGCCGTAGTTCCTGCTCACAGAGTTTGCAACTGGAGTGCTCAGGATTGGGAGACCCGTCACCTGCAGCCACCTGCCACAGGTAACGGTAACCCAACCTGATCCTTGCAACCACTGTGTCGCACAGTCTAGTGGACGTTTTGTGCTGTCCATAGATGTAGGTTTCAGATCTGAACAAATCATAGCTTTTATACTAGTACTTTCAGGTCGTTGGGAGTCAGTAAGTTCTTTCCTATCAGATCTGAATGTTTGGACCAATACAGTTTTGACAGCAGAGATGGGGATACCTAGATCTAATTCAACTTCAAACTTGTTACACGCTAATTTGGCTGCAATGTCTGTCTCATTATGATGGGTTATATTTATGTGTGAAGGTATCCATACAAAGGAGATTCGAGACCCTTTACTCTGTGCATCAATTAGGTCATTTATAATTGGGAGTATGAGGTTCTTGCTGTCGATCTTCCAAGAGAAGTTTTCGATTGCTTGAAGAGCAGACTTTGAATCGCAGAATATTATTCCTCCTCCAATATTTTTTAATATGCTGGTTGCTAAATGTAATGCTGCTAGTTCTGCTTGTGTGGAGGTCAGCCAGTTGTTTAGCCTGTGTTTGGAAAAAGTTCTTGGGACTCAAGTCCACGGTCGAACTTTGCCAGATTTCATTGAACCTTGTGTTGTGGTGGAAGTCCGGCACTTGTCTCGTGGTGAAAGTTTCCTCTTTTCTCGTCTCGTGAAGAAAGTCTCTCCGTCTTGCTTCGTCTCGTGGGGGTCGACTTTTAGTATTGTTTTTATTTTTAAACTTCGATCAATCAGCCTGTGGAGATAGAAATGTCTGATGCAACATGTGCACATTTTCCCCCGGCCTTTACCTGTGTTCTCTCTGTCTCTGTCTCTGTCTCTCTCTCTCTCTCTCTCTCTCTCTCTCTCTCTCTCTCTCTCTCTCTCTCTCTCTCTCTCTCTCTCTCTCTCTCTCTCTCTCTCTCTCTCTCTCTCTCTCTCTCTCTCTCTCTCTCTCTCTCTCTCTCCTCTCTCTCTCTCTCTCTCTCTCTCTCTCTCTCTCTCTCTCTCTCTCTCTCTCTCTCTCTCTCTCTCTCTCTCTCTGTCTGTCTGTCTGTCTGTCTGTCTGTGCGTGTGTGTGCTCCCAGGTCTTTACCTGTTTCTGCTTTACACCCGACTTTTAACATTAGGACGCCTTGGATTAGCATGTAAAGATCTTGCGTGCATCACGACCTATAGAACGTTGCATTACGACGCCATAACCTTGCAAACATTGCAAGACTTCCTTACGGTGCACCACGGCTGGTTAGAGTCCCCCCTCCCCTGGGGTAACTCCCCCTCCCCTCTCCCCTGGGGTAACCCCCCCTCCACTGGGGTAACCCCCCCTCCCCTAGGGTAACCCCCCCTCCCCTGGGGTATTCCCCCCTTCCCTGGGGTAACCCCCCCCCCCTCCTCTGGGGTAACCCCCCCCCTCCTCTGGGGTAACCCCCCTCCCCCGGGGGTGAACATCAAGGGGGGGGGAGGTCTGGGGGGACCCCGGAGGCCACTCTATGGGGGATTAAATAAAAAAATCAGAGGTTTATGAAGACCGCCATTTAGAAAATTAGGCTAAACGTTGTTAAAATGAGTTCATTTTTCCAATGTATGGAAACTTTTGAACCTGTGTACAGGCACTTGATTTGCATGGGGGGGGGGAATGCACGCGTGCGCACGCACGCAGGCACGCACGCACACACACACAGGCACGCACGCACACACACACACACGAGGGGGGGTTACCCCAGGGGAGGGGGGGTTACCCCAGGGGGGGGGGTTACCCAGGGGAGGGGGGGTTGTTTGCGGGGGGGGGGGTTACCCCAGGGGAGGGGGGGGGTTGTTTGCGGATGACGCAAAATTAATGAGAAGAGTTGTGACAGACGAGGATTGTAGGATCCTCCAAGAGGACTTAAACAGGCTGCAGAGATGGTCAGGGAAATGGCTACTGGAGTTTAACACCAGTAAATGTAAAGTTATGGAAATGGGATCAGGTGACAGGAGACCAAAGGGACAGTAC